ATGATCTCTCATAATCGGTTCGGTTTCTTTGGCAACAATTCACGAAGACTCTGATTCAAATAGTAAAGTATGCAAGAGTAAATCCATATATTTTTGGTTAATTCTATCTCAGTGAAACTAAATATTAAAAGTATAATATAAACACAAATTGATTAATATACAATTTTTCTATTATTTTACCCTTTTTTTTGAGAAAATGTTTATTTTACCTTTATTAATTGTGACATGTTTGCTCATTCACCTGTTGTCATCTTTACCATATCAATAATCTCTCAACTCTTCTTTATCATTCTCCAATTTCAACTTCAGGCTATTAAATTCTTTATCATGCTTGCTTTCTACGATGTTAATAACATTTAACACTAATTGATGTTACGATCGTCAAATAAAATTCAATGCTCCCATTTTTTTAACTTTAATATCCATATATTCTATTTTACTATAGAAAAACTTATAAAAAATATTTCAAACTGAACTGGAAAAAAAATATTTCTATTAACAACAAAAATAAAATTAACTTATACTAAATTCTTTTAAAAATTAGAAATATTCTATTCACAATAGAAAATATTAACTTAATTCTAAATTTTGATGTGGACTATAATTATTGGCTGTTTAAAATTCTATATAGACCACCTTAGCATCAAGTAGGTTCAACCTTTTTTTACTAATAAAATTTGACGCTATTTGATGTTAAGATTATCAAGTAAATTCAATGATTCCAATATATTTTTTAGCTTTAATCGTACATAGATTATATTTTACCTTTTAAAAATGATATATTTATTTTCTTATATGGAAAATTTTGTAAGAAAAAAAAATCAAACTTAAAAAAAAGTAGAAGTTTTTTATTAACGATAAAAAAATTAATTTACACTAAATGTTTAAAAAATAGAAGTTAGTATCTTGAAAAAAAAAGATGTCATACTCATAATATGAATCCAACTATAAAAGAAAAAAGTAGTTAACATATTTTTATTCATTGTCAAAATATATTATAACAACTGAATAATTGTTACCACAATTCAACTTCTGACTATTCTTTCTTGGCATTTTTTTGTCTGTAAACTCCTTCTTCCACCTTCTCAATATATTTTTAAAATATATTATTAAAACTTTAGATTTAAGAAATTTTCCTAATATATTATAAGTTAAATATTTTGTTATATTTAATAGAAAATCGTGTCATAGTTTCCTTATCTCCTATGTTATTTCATATTATCAAAACTACCTTACAATTAAGAATGTTTCCTAATTTATCCAATTAATGTAAATGTTGATGTGGACTAATAGAATTGTGTTTTAAATCTTATGTTTGATAATGATTACTTTTCCAATGGTAGTTAGGTGAAGCATATTTAAAGTTAGTTTATGGTGGTATTATAACAATAGATATAAACAAAAAATATTTACCATATAGGTCTTTGTTCATGTTGGATTAAAAACTTGTGAGAAGACACCATGTAGCCACCATCAAGTGGCCACCATCGACGACCTTATACAATTTTGCTAGCAGGGTGAATTGGATTAAAAACTTGTGAGAAGACACTATGTAGCTTATCTTGTTATTAATGGCTAAAATATTTTTTTATCTTGTAGATTTCACCGGGTTTGATCTTTCCCTTATAGTAGCCTATTCGATTTGCCGTAATGAATGCTTGGATCAAGGTTGACTGCATATTCATGTTAGAAGATGTTTAGTTATGATTTACTAAAACGTTTAGTTATGATATATCTCACTATATATACAAAACACG